AAAAAAATAGGGAGCTGGGGATTTAGCTCAGCGGCGCAGCGCCTGCCCGGCAAGCGCAAGGTCATGAGTTCGATTCCCGGTACCAGAAAAAAAAAAAAAAAAAGACCTGCCTAAACTATATAGTGAGACCCTGTCTCAGACTAAAGAGTACAAAAGAAGAAACCAAAAACAAACCCCAAAAACCTGTGCAAGAGAAGTGAGGAAGCCTTACACCCAAGTTGCGTGCTTCCCACGTGCAGACGGAGCAGGTCCTACGCCAGACCTGTGTGTGTGCGGCGGAGGGGGTGTAGGACTACACTTCCCATGAAGCCCCGCGCGCAACCCGCGGGTGCTGCTGGGAAGAGCAACGTGCGAGTAGCCAGGTCGGCAGCCTGATCCGCTGATAGAATGGCTGGTCCTCGAGGTGAGCGGTAGGACGGGCTTGAGCATGGTGGTGGGCGCGTCCCGGGCAATAACACCAGCCTGACCTGACAGGGAGCACTCGGCCCTGCAGCTCGAGGGGGATGGGTGGGCAGATGAGGCAGAGGAGGGACCCTGAGGTGGGGGTGACGACCCTCGAAGGGGCACCCGCTCCTCTGGCTGCACGTAGGTCGGTGGACACAGAGGGCGGTGGGCGAGCTCTTCCTGCGCCTTCTCTGAACCCCAGGAGTCAGGCGAGATCCCCATCGGCCCCTCTCACAGATGGGAACATCTAGACTTGCCGGAGTGGGGTCTCACCTCACAACCTGCAGACTTTGTTTACCTCTGTCCCTGCTCAGATCCCCCGCTCGTGCTCGGCTCCCCGGACTCTAGGGCCGGATCTGAGGTGGGGACAGGAACTGACCCCTGTCTGTCCCCCAGTGTTCCCACTTTCCTGTGTGGTGCAGAAGTACGCCTGGGGGAAGAGGGGCTCCAACAGCGAAGTGGCGCGGCTGCTGGCCAGCAGTGACCCGCTGGCCCATATCTCAGAGGACGAGCCATATGCAGAGGTGAGACCGGCAGCGCTGCAGGCCACCTTATGTGGATCGGCTGGGAAGAGTGGGACAGCAGGGGCCCGGATGCCCCCCTGGCTCTTCCGATTGATTGGTATGGGTCTACAGACTGGATGATGACAGTTTTCCTCAACACCTTTCAGCACCTACTGAATTTTAACCCAACCTTCTTAGACTTTTTTTTTTTTTAAACAGGTCTTGCTTATTACTACTGGCTGGCCTTGAACTCACAATTTAGCCCAGGCTGGCTTTGAACCTCAGGAATCTTCCTGCCTCAGCTTCCCAAGTGCTGGGATTACTTTTACATTTTTCACTTTGAATATCTTTTGCATCTTTATTAACCTGATGCATAATTCCTCCTACCTATTTAGTGGAGAAAATGCTAAAGCTTGGGAAGAGGACCACCCACTCAGGAATTTTCTTAGAAATCCAATAGCTATTACTCTTGTTATTTCCAATAAAAGCTTGCTTAACCTCAAAAAAATTTAAAAAGCCTAGAAATAAATGTGTTTGATAGTGGAGTAGATGAATTTTAACCCCTCACAGAGCCATTTGAGAGTCATGGCTTTGCAGTGACCTTGACAGTGGAGGTGTCGTTCTCCTCACTTGATAGACAAGAAGAGTTACGCTAGAGAAGGAAAATAATTAGCTGAAGGCTCCAGAGCTGAATCGAGGCAAAGCCTGGACTAGGGCCTGAATCTCCAAGGTTCAGCTGTGTCCCTATGTGTCCCTGATGGTGTGAGCATTTTGTACTCAGACCTGACTGCCCTGTGGGAGCACAGTACATCTTGGATCCTGTAACTGATGGTACTAGTTCTTTCTCCTCTCTGCAGCTGTGGATGGGAGCACATCCCCGGGGGGACGCCAAGATCCTTGACAACCGGATCTCACAGAAGACGCTGGGCCAGTGGATTGATGAGAACCAGGATTGTTTGGGTTCAAAGGTCAAAGATGCCTTTAACGGCAAGCTGCCCTTCCTCTTCAAAGTGCTCTCAGTGGAAACGGCCCTATCCATCCAGGCACACCCCAACAAGGTACAGGGTCACAGTGGGGAGCAGAGGGCATTGTGGAGACAGGCTTGTTTCACAGCCCTCCCATGACTTTCACTGCTGCTTTTACCCTGCCCATACCAGGCTCTAGCCCAGAGCTAAATGCGGGTCTGAAGACTCTTAATTTAGCTCTGCAAGGCCATATGCAGGTGACACATGTAGTAGCCAAGTCTCATTGGGCAGCTGACCAGCCTTTGCCTTTGGGCAGCTTCTCTGAGCTTATTCCTGGGGACCTGTTTCTGGTCTCCCCCTACCAGCACAGGTCTGTCATATCTACCATCTTCCTATCTGGCTCTTGGGAGAGTTCAGCTTCCAAGCCAAGAGAAGCACCCTATCTGTGGCCTCAGCTTCAGCCCTGCAGAGTTGTCCTGTCCTAGCCCCTGAGCCCCAGCCCAAACAAGTATCTGTCAAACTTCTTATTTTAGATAAGCAGCGTTAGATCCAGTGAAGGGACTGATTTACTCAAAGTCGCACAGCTTGTCAGTATCAGAGCCTGTCAGCCCTGGTCAGGGTTGCTGGATTCACTGGCCACACCTCTTAAAGTCTGCCCAGCTCCTCCAGATTTGGCCTATTTCCTTGGCTGAACCCCAGGTTTCTGCATCATGTCTTGACTGGGTTCCTTGCCAGAGGTCTGAAGCTACTGCCGACTGGCAGCAGGGAGGGTGGTGAGCAGGGACTGGTGGGCTTGGTGTTCCCACTAAGTGACAGCTGTACCCCACCATCCACAGGAACTGGCAGAGAAGCTCCACCTCCAGGCCCCACAGCACTACCCCGATGCCAACCACAAGCCAGAGATGGCCATTGCACTCACCTCCTTCCAGGGCTTGTGTGGCTTCCGGCCTGTGGAGGAGATCCTGACTTTTCTGAAGAGTAAGGTTGGACGGAACACCAAGAACACATGTACTGGGTCTGGGATATATGAGGGACCTAGGCCAGGGCAGGCACTGACGGAGGACAGAGGCTGAATGTCACAGGGCCTGAAGGTTGTGCTCATGAAACAGTTTTGGGAGCCAGGCGTGGGCGTGGTTGTCAAGGCCTGGTGGGGAGCAGTTGGCCCATACTTCATGGTTTGTTTAGCATGGTGCTGGGGCAGGACTGGGAGGCCTCCTCCTGTCCCTCGCTACTATGGCTGATACAGCCCTGGCCTGGCTTCTTGCAGAGGTGCCTGAGTTCCAGCTCCTGATTGGGGACGACGAGGCCACACAGCTGAGACAAAGTGTTAACAGCGATCCCCAGACTGTGGCCTTGGCTCTGCGCAGCTGTTTCTCCCACCTGATGAAGAGTGAGAAGAAGACAGTGGCAGAGCAGCTCAATGTGTTGGTGAAGCGCATCTCCCAGCAAGGTGGGTTCAGTGCCCTGGCCGGGACTCCCCCAATATGTGAGGCAGAGGACAAGGTTCTCAGCCCTTTGCGCAGGTGAGATACTAAAAGGAGCCCAACCTAGCTGGCCTGTTGGCCATGTCATTTCTTTCCCCATCTTTGGGGAGCAAGGCCTTGATGGACAGTTTTCTCCAGATGGGGAAGTAGGCTGGCCAGAAGACTCTTCCGGCTGCTTCCCCCTTGTATTAGGGGTCTGCAGAACAGGATGGGGACAAAGGTATCACCCCTCTGCTCTGGAGGATGCATGCCTAGTGCTCAGTCATCAACCCCTCCTTACATACTCCTGTGGCCCTGACCTGTGCAAAGGAGCACTGAGTTCAGGAAGTGACCACAGGTTTATGGGTGTGGCCATGTCACCTTGGGCAGAGGAGTTGATACAAACAGTAGGAACACAGGCAAACGGATGCCCAGCTGTGAGCCACTGTGGTTGCTGAGGAGGCCTGTCTGGAGACACAGGACTTTCAGCACTAGGAAAAGGAAAATCCTGGGCTCGTGGGGAGCTTGTCACCCACAGAAAAAATTGTAGTTCTCAGTTAGGGGACATTGACAGCCAGCCAGAGACTTCAGTTGTCAAAGCCTGGACTGAAAGTGCTAGTAGTGTCTTGTAGATCGGGCTGAGGGTGTTGCTAGGCATCCAACAATGCACAAAACGCCCCTACAACAAACAGCTGTCTAACCCAGGCCAGCTGTGCCAAGGTTGAGAGATTTTGTCTTGAAAGGCCCACACTCTGACCCTTCTAGAGGCCAGTGCAGTGCCGGGCGTGGGACAGTCTGTGTGCTGAGAGATGGCATCCATGTGGGTGGAGGGCCGAGGAAAGATGGACCCCACTAGGCAAGACTCCCTACCATCGTGGGGCTGAGAACGCCACTAACTGTCGTTAAGTGCCATGGATACTTTGTGACCCTCAGTGTCAGCTGGGAACAACATGGATGACATTTGTGGGAAGCTGCTACTTCGGCTGCACCAGCAGTACCCAGGGGACATTGGCTGCTTTGCCATTTACTTTCTGAACCTGCTCACGCTGAAGCCGGGGGAGGCCATGTTTCTGGAGGCCAATGTACCCCATGCCTACCTGGACGGAGGTGAGTCCCTCACCCTTGCCTTGTGGGCTCTGTCCGCCTGTCTGGACAGAAGAGGACACAAAAGGGTGGTTGGGGAGGCCTTTACCCAGCTGACGCAAGAGTGCCTGGGCTCAGCAGTGAGTGGCTAGTAGTGATGCAGGCTAGTCTGGCAGTGGATACTGCTTGGAATTGCCCACAGCCTGGCATTGATACTCTGACATTATGCCCGACAGTGAGCATGGGAACCCCCACCCTACATGCCTGTCTTATGGACCTGGGGACTTGCATATTAAATATGCGTTGCCACAGAGCACGTCACATTTTGACTGCTAGCATACCCACTCCCACACAGGGCTCTGCCACAGAAGTGGCAGATGAATTATAGGTCAGGGGCACCTAGGGGTTAATGTGGGTGCCCTGTCACTTGCTTTTGGTGTCTGATATTTTAGCATCACCCTCCTAGAAAATGCCCTTCAGCTGGTTTCCCTAACCCTGTAGTGGGTTCATGGAGCTCAGGTTAGGGGCCCAGCCCTGGAGCACCAGACTCTGGGGCATCAGCTTAGCACATGACAAGTGTCTGTCCCCAGATTGTGTGGAGTGCATGGCATGTTCGGACAACACAGTGCGTGCTGGCCTGACGCCCAAGTTCATTGATGTGCCAACGCTTTGTGACATGCTCGACTACACCCCCATTCCCAGCAAGGACAGGCTCTTCCCCCCATCGCAGAGTCAGGAAGACCCCTACCTCTTCATCTATGACCCCCCTGTGCCAGACTTCACCGTGATGAGGATGGAGGTGAGAGGGGTATTGTGGGTACAGCGTGACCAACCTGGGCAGGGGTCACAGTGCAGTGTATACCTGGGGCTGGGTGTCCTTTCTATCCATCTCACCTGGCTGGAGGCAGCTATTGGGTACATCTGGTTTGTTCCAGGGGCAGACGTGGCCTCCGTGCTGACAAGAACCCAAATAGTGGGGAGGAGGTGGCAGGGCTGTCCCTGGCTACCCTGGAGGTGGTCCTGGGCCTGGAACCAAGTCTAGCTGCACTGTCTGATGTTTCTTTCTGCACAGGTCCCCAGCTCTGTCACTGAATATAAGGTCTTGGTGTTGGACTCTGCCAGCATCCTCCTGGTGGTGAAGGGGACAGTGACAGCCAACTCGCCCACAGCCCAAACTGCCATCCCCCTGCAACGTGGCGGGGTGCTCTTTGTTGGGGCCAATGAGTGTGTCTCACTGAAGCTTACTACACCCCAGGACCTGCTGCTATTCCGAGCCTGCTGTCTGCTGTAGCAGCCACAGCCTCCCCAGCTGTCCCCTGCTGGCCATCAGCCCAAGCCCCTTCCTGCTGTGTGGTCTGGGTACACTTGAGAACAGGGCAGCAAGGAGCTTGTAGGTTGTGTCTTCAGGACACACTCAGCCTAAGCCATCTTTGGAAACACTCCTGTCTCAATCACTTCTTGCCACCCAAGCCTGGCCATGTCAACTCCATGGTAGCTCTGCACCTCCCATGGCACCAGGCTATTTGGTGACACCTGTGGTCCTGACTTAGCGCCCGGAAGAAGGACAAGGAGCAGAGTTCTTGCCTGGGACTGCTGTCCTCAGCTTCAGAGGGCTATGGGAGGGGCCCAAGGACTGTGGTGCTGGTGGCCTCCTGCACTGTCCAGGCAATTAAAGCTTGCTCTGTCTAGGCTGTGAGCAGAGCATTTGCTCTGTGTTCTGTCCCTGCAGTGGGCTGGAAGAGCCCTCCCTGGATGGGGCCCAGGTTTTCCTTGATTCCTGCTCAGTCAGCTCCTGGGGGTGGCTGGCCCAGCTCCAGAATCTGTAATGGAAGGAGTGGGCGAAGAAGCCAGCCCCAGCCTCAGCTGCACACTTGCAGGCAGGCCTCGGCAGAGAGGCAGGTTGAGGGGTGACCAGTCAGCAGTGTGAGGCCCCGCTCCTGCAGCACCGGTCAGCACTCGAGGGCTGGCAGGCCAGGGCCTGTGTATGGCAGGCAAGCACTCTGCCACTCAACTGAAATACTGGTCGTCAGCCCTTCCAGAACTTGACAGCCCCTTTAAACAGACTGAATCATCGCAGATTACAAGGCCTTGGGGACAGAATCATGCAATTCTCCCTCCAGGGCTGGGACCCTGCAAAAGACTGCTCCCTTCTGTGACCTTACTGAGATCTCTGGCCTGTGGTCTTGACCCTGTTGCTCCAGATTAAGCAGACCCAGGCTACTGGCTCCCCCTCCCTATAGAAGAGTATAGACTCAGGAAGCTTCTGCCCATACTAGAGCCCCCATAAATGGAGTCCAGGAAACTACCTTAAAGGTTTCAGTAGCCAGGTGTGGTGCATGCCTGTAAACCTAGCCTTCTGGGAGGCTGGGACAGGGGTATCACAAGTTTGAGCCCAGCCTGGATGACTTAGCTAATTCCTGTCCCAGAGGGAAGAAAGGGCCAGGGATGTAGCTCAGAGCAAAGGTCCTGGGTTCAATCCCTAGTTTTTATTTTTGCCTCTGAAATTTCCTTGGTTTAGAGGGGGAGAAAATGAAAGGGTCTGCTAGAAGAAACCCATTCAGAAGGCAAGTTATCTGCAAGGCCATTCATGGCCTCCAATGCAACAAGGGGACCAGTAGAGGAGGGGGCCCCAGCAGTGGCCACATGGTTGGCTCACCAGGTTATGTTATTTTAGGGTACTCAGCCCTTAAAGTCCCTTTGTGACACGGACACAGCTCAGCTAGCATGGATATATTTATTCATGAGCATACAGAATGCAGAAGTACAAGCCAAGGGGTCTGTCAAGCACTGTGTGAACACAAGGTGGAACCACTCCTGCCTGAGGGAGCCCCAGGCACCCCTCCCCCAGGGGACTGTCACCTGTACTGCATACCTTGCTCTGAATTAAGGCAGCGTGGCTCTGGGCACCTTGGTGCCTTAATTGGTAGTATTTGGTCTGCGACCCTGCCCCAACAGCTGACCATGTGTGCCCCGCCACAAGGCCTTCCTGTAGGACTCCCCTCAGGGAGCTGTTGGAGTCCAAGCATCCCACTGCAACAGTGACCACACAGAGGGCATAGCCTGGGTTCCCAAATGCCCAGTATACTCTGTTCTAACCAGGGCCCCCTCAAACATGGCCCCACATGTGGCTTCCATGTTCCCCTCTGGTGTCACGGAGTGTCCCCACCCCAGCCTCCTCCACACTGCACTTCACCCCCCACCTTCTGATGTGCGCTCTTCCCCCTACAGAAACCCGAGAGGCCTATATGTGGTCTTTGTGTTGTGGACAGCTCAATATGAAGTGCCTGGGTAGTTAAAGAGTCCCACTGCAGAACAAAGTAGCCACCACCTCACCTATCCCAGCCCCAAGCTGATAGGCCTTGAGTCTCTATCCATCTCCATCCTGCAGCACTGCCAGCAGCAGAATAATCAGTCACAGCCCAAGATGGAGTGCACTCCTCAACCTCCCAGCCTCAGAAACACAGAAGCTACCAAGCACTGCCAGGATGGCCTTCCTGGGGACAGTGTCTTGACAAGGAACAGTCCAGCCATCCTTTCCTACCCGCCTCTTCTAGTGGAGCTGTGAGTCTCTACTGTCCCTCAGTGGTCAAAGAACATGTGCGAAGCAAGAGACTGGATGCTGTACACCCTCATCCTGACTACCATGCACCTCGGGCTATGAACCCTGTGCACCCGCTTTCCAACTGCACACCTGAGTAAGGCAAGAAAGGCGGCGGGGGTCATAAAACTCATTCCAGGGGAGGCTTGGGATAGCAAGAGAAACTCTCCGGCAGGGTTCACCCGAAGGCATGCTGGAAAGCCCAGTGCTTGTGGTTTTTCCAGGGCCTCGCACACTAGGCAAGAGCTAGTAAAGGTCTACTCTGGCACAGAGTCGTCTAGCCGTAGGATGGCCCAGGCTGGAGAGGCCGCTGCACTGGCCACTGGGTTACTGCTCCTGGGAGCTGGCTCAGGTCTCTTCTTCCCATCCTGCCTGGCTTGGGTCTTCATCCAAGCCACACCACCAGTACACCAAAGGCACCCACTGCTGTCTCCAGAGTAAAAAGGCTGAACAAGAAGGCACAAGACTGCCCAATAGCTCCCTCTGCTGGGAGCAAAAAAACCTGCAGGCGCCTGGCACTAGCCCCAGTACCTTCAAGGCAGCCTCAGCTCAAGATGGGTGGAGAAGCCAGCCAAGACTACAGAAATATAAATAAATAAATGTCTAACATAAAGCAGTTTTCCTCTAAGTAGGGAGGGGCCAACCAGTGTTAACCCACTGGACAGCTGTCCCAGGTCCAGGGATTCTGGAAGCCACGATCCTGTTGGCAACCTGCTATATTTCCTGCCATAGTGACAGGAGCTGAAGAGGGAACAGAGGGACCTGCATTGTGCTCTCGAAGCTTACATCTAAGAACCCACCTAACAGCCGGGAAGAGGAGGGCAACATACGGAATTTCCTGAGCTGTCCCAGTTAAATTTCTCTTCAGAGTCCCAGCTTCGAGCCATGAAGTGCTATCTTCCACCTCCATACAACATTGCCCGGACACAAAAGCTGTCCCTTCCCCTGACAGCAAACACCAGTCAAAACGTCTGCCAGTGTGCTTCTCAGCCACCTCCTCCAGCCACCATATGAACCCTAATTCCTCTGCTCCCGCCCTTACTAAAGCAGCTTTTCCAAACTCTGCACCGACAACGGAGGGAAACTGCAGAATGCCACTCATCAACCCCATGGCCCAATGGGCCTCTGGCTCGAGAAGCACTGGGTGAGGGCTCCTTGCAGGTCCCCAATCGCAGCGGGCCAGTGCCTCCAGAGATTCTGGGCTGACAGCTGTCCCCACTGTGCTCTTGAGCTATGAAGGCCACCAGGCTCTGTCTGCCTCGTGGTAAGCAGGGCCTGTGCTGGAGGCTTCTGTCTATTGGAGGGTACAGGAAGAGTCCCCAAGGCAGCACCAGCAGCAGGAGCATGTGGAGGAAGCCACAGGCTTAGGGGGAATGAGGTCCAGGTCCTCATCGTCTGGAATCTCATCCAGGTGGTAGCCATCCTGTAGCAGCTGCCGGTTTACATCTTGGTTCACCTGCTAAAAGGCAAGGTGGGAACTGTAAGCCAAAATGCCAAGCAGAGACAGCTGCTACCCACATTCCTATGCCAGAGCTTCCTCTCCATGCTCCACCCCATGCATCCCGGAACTACAGGAATCTCCACTTTCTCCAAGTTGTGCCTTCACTAATACCCTCCAGACTTCAAGTCAGGGACCCCACCCGCCCCAGGGGAGCTGCTGAGCTCACTGAAGAATCCTGATGCAGCTGATACCAGTTTGAAATTCTAGATCATTTGACAGTCATTTCCCTGACCCTTCCCACAGGAACTGATGTCCCCGTCAAGGCCGAAGGATATAGGACAATAACAACAGAACAATGGGCTGGAGCAGTAGAGGAATACGGCTTACAGTGGGAGAGGGTGGGTTTGTCTATACTGCCTGTTGGACTTGTGATCATTCCTGGCCCTGGCCCTGGCCCAGAGCTGGGTTCCTGCAGTATGGAACCAGTCAGCCTGGTTTCACCAGTTGCACTGGGCAGACAAAATGAATGAGGCTAGAAAGTATAAGACTTCCTTTGGCTCTTGGCTAAGTTTACTTTTATTTTAACAATCTTAGCCTCTCCAACATTCAAGGAGAACAGTGTCCAAATTGCCTCTTTTCTTTTTCATGGGAACTGAAAAGGTTACCCAACAGTTTTCCAAAGGCTGAGGTAGGAGGATCACTCCAAGTATGAAGCCCACCTGGACTACAAAATGAGCTCCAGGCCAGCCTGAACTGCATAGTGAAACCCTATCTCAAAAAGACAAAAAAAAAAAAAAAAATTAAAAGCTACTGAAGAAGTGTTTGGGTTTGTGCATGTGCTGAAAGGGCAGCAAGCAATGTGTCTTTTCTTTCTTTTTTTTTTTTGTCTTTTTGAGACAGGGCCTTGCTATACAGTTCAGGCTGGCCTTGAGCTCACTCTGTAGCCCAGGCTGGTCTCAAACTCCCAATGATCGTTCTGCCTCAGCCTCCCAAGTGCTGGGGTTACAGGGATGCACCACCACACCCAGCAATGTTTGATTTGCCCCAACAAGCAATGTTTCTTAAAGGTAGCAAATACATAATTAACAAGCATTTAGGCAAGCAGAGGCTAGTCAACCCTTAACTAGGATCTATCAAGAGGAATCATCATCTCCAACCCTGAGGATGCATTGTCTCTTGGTTGTCAACAGCCCTCCTAAGATGCCTACCCCTCTGTGGGGGAAGAGGGCAGAATGGAAGAGCAGAGAACAGACCAGAACTCTGGTACAGTGCTGTACACACAGCAGGCACCACACCCACATCTGGCAGTGGTCATGAGGCTGCCCATAGTGTGGCCACACGCAAAAGGGCAATCTGGACTTGCCTCGGCAGAGGAGTACCCGGAGGAGTATCTGGATTCCTGCTCGCCATCGCTAGGAAAAGAGGAACACGGTCAGATCAGAGGAGGCCTGCAGAAGGGCGGGCGGCAAGGTGGAGAGTGTGCAAGGGGGTCCAGGTGATTTGTGAGCTGATCACACACCAGAGCACTCAACCCAGAACCAGCGGAGAGTGAGAGTGCAATTGCTACCTCAATGGGCTCCAGCGGGAACAGGATCACTCTCACTAATGGTGCAAACCTAACAGGTCAGGGTGGTTGCCCTGGGACACGGGTGATCCAGATCCTAGAGCAGTGTGACTACCCAGCCATCCCGGGAAGGGTCAGCCTCAGGTGTGTACAAGGGCCTTGGCGGAGGCAGGAAACAAGCAAAGGCACCAGGTGCTGCAGTGCTTTTCCAGGGGGCACGCTCACCTGTCAGAGTCGAGGGACACCAGGTTCTCGTCTGGACTCTGGCTCAGAGCAGTGTAGCCTTTGTTAAACTTCACTGACCTGAGGAACAAGGAGAGACCAAGCACAGATGAAAGCCCAAGCACTGTGCAGGGAAAGCCGGAGTCCTTGCCCTTATGGAAAAGGAAAACTACATACTCCAGGTAGAGCTGCTGTCTGTCTACCTCGACACACAGCCAGCTGCCTGCTGCTCCAGCACCTGGCTAAGCACCTCAGGGTACACAGGCCCCACTCCACACACACGCCCACCCTGTGCTCCTGGAAAAAGCACACCGGGCCTTTCAGAGCCAGGAAAAGCACACTTGCACCTTATTTAACCAGAGGAGCAAAAGCAAATCTCTTCGACTCTGCGTGTTTCAGCTCTCTGCTGCAAAGGGCAGCACCGGACGAGGTCTTATCCAGCTCTAAGAGCTTGACCAGAACACAGCACTGGCCTTTCCCATGGTGCTGTCCATCTCTCTTGGGACCTGCAGAACCAGGGTCCTCACTTAGACACTGCCGGGGAGGCCCCCTTGCACTGCATGTCTCCCTCGTTCCAAAGCCCATTACTGGGGATATCACTGCCTTAAGGGGAGAGAGGAAGGCGCTCCTCTACCATTTTCCAGAGTGAACCCGACGGCGCGATCAGAGGAGCCCCGGACACGGCCGTGACCCCCGAAGCCGAAGCCTTCGGGGATGCGGCCGGTCTGGGGAGATGTCGCCGCAGAGACCTTTTCCCTGAAGAGTTGGGGCGGCTCGGCAGGGCGCCCAGCACGCCCTTCTTCCGCAGCATTGCCTTGGCCAGGTCCCGGTGCTTCTCTGGAAAGCAAAGAGCCGGTCAGTCGCATCTCCCAGTTCCCCCCGCCCCCCGGCCCCTTTTCCCCTGGGACCTCCGGGACCCGCCCTACGCACGCAGCTTGGCCTGGACCGACGGCGCGCGCGCCACCGTGTACGGCCCGCGCTTCTCCACGGCCGCGGGGGCACGCTCTCCGCCTCTCCTTCCTGAGGACAGGCCTGCAGCTCCCGCCGCACGCTCCGGGCCCGCGCCTGCCCGGGACCCGACAGTGGAAGTCCGAGCCGTGCGGCCACCAGGGTCCGCAGACGCCATGGCCAGGCCTGGCCCGGCCGGCAACACCGCCCCGCCCCGCGGCTCCCGTGCCAGCAGTGGGCGGGCGCTCTGGCAGCAAGATGGCGGCGCGCGTACGCGGGCCGTACCTCCGCGCTGTCCGGTGGGAATGCAGGGCGTGTGGCACAACAGTTCCTCCCTGCGCCGGGCGCGGCAGGTTTCGTCCTGTTGGTCCCGAGCGCTGCGGCAATGAAGTCCCTATGACCTTGGCACTGTCCTGGTGCTCAGTTCTGTCTCCAGTGAGAAAATGATATTTATGCAGGGCCGCGGGCGTGCGACTGTGATCCCAGTATTCCGGAGGCTGAGGCAGAAGTCTCACCGCAAGCTTGAGAGCACCTTGGACTACTTACCGAGACCCAGAGAATAGGAGGCAGGAGAGGTACCAGCCTCCTGGTCCAGAAAGGGAACAGGAGTGAGTTCAGGAAGGTGACACCACTGGCGACAGTGACTGAGCAGCTGAATCCGACTCCAGACCCTACATCTTTGCTTTTATGGTACTGAGGATTGAACCCAGAGCTTCCACATCCCAATCCTTTTTGAATTTTTTTGAGACTGGATCTCGCAAAATTACCAGGGTGTGTTTGAATTTGAGATCCTCCGGCCTCAGCCTCTCAGAGTGCTGGGATGACAGGCTGCGAGTGGTGCCTGAGACCTTGGCACTGACCACGCCTCCCCAGGCCTCCTCGGATTTGTGTAAAGTGGAGCCTGGGGTGGAGGTGGAGCTGGGCGGGAGAGCACTTACCTGGCAGGTGCAAACTCCTGGATTTGATTCCTAGCTCGACAAGTAAATATGGTGGAGCCAATTCCTTTACCAAATCTGCCCTAGGAAAGCTGGTCTGTGCGTGGGTGGGCAGGGACTTGTGTCAGGCTTCTGGCTTCTTGGGCTTCCAAGGCCCGCTGGAAATGAGCTCCGGATCCCTGGACCTCAGGGCTGTATCGTGGCCCGTCAGCCTCTAGAGGCCTGCACGGGCTAGAGCTCCGGAGCCGACCCTAATTGTTAGCAGGATTATGCTGTGGGCAGGATGGGAGAAAGGGAAGAATTCAGTCCTGGAGCTGAAAAATGGCGAACACAGGATCCCACCTCTTGCAGGATCTGCTGGGCTGCTTTTGGCTTCCAGAAACATCAGTTACACGTGGCCCAGCTGGATGCTTAACAGGGGCCCCCAGGGAAGCCAGTCTTACTCCTTTTATACAAGTTCACCACTCAAATGTCAACCTGGAATTTGAACCCAGGTCCTCATGAATTCCAAAGAAGTGATTTTTCTCCTGGTTTTGCTACTTGTCACAGCTACTGTGGAGGCTGAGGCAGGAGGACCAATCAACTTGGATATTTTTATTTATTTACAAGGGGGTGATGGAAACGTGGTGAATGTTTAGAAGTTAAAAAAACAATTTACAGCAAAAGACATTGCTAAGAAGGATGCTGTGTTGGAAGTGAGAGGGAGTATTTTGAGGGGGGTTCATGTCTTTTATTTTTTATTTTATGCTTCATTTATTCCCAAACTGTAAGTTTTTGTTTCTTCGGTTTCTTCTGGAATGTCTTTTTCCTCTTCCTCTCTGGTTTGGGAAGTTTTGAGAGTGGGTGAATCCGACCTGAGCTCTGTTGGCCGACACTGCATCTTGGGCACTTTGCTTACCTGGAGGTGTTGAATTACCAGAGCATCTACATCTAAACCCTTCAAGTCAGGGTTACTCTGCATTTTTAAACATACGCACCAAAAATCAAGCAGTGTTTGGGCCAGTGACCCTGAGTGCAGCTCCACTGTGCCTTGGACATAGGTGCCACCCCACCACTGTCACACCAGGACAGCACCCAGTGTTTCTGCTGAGGACAGACACCCTTCGGATACTCAGCCTTCTGGGTATGGATGCCCTTAATGGCAGGGCAGGGCAGCTTCATCGGTGTTCTTAAAGTGAACATGAAGTATATGAAGAGGCTGCTTACTGGTAATTTTAAAACATTTACTACATATTTGAATCACTGCTCATTATTAACTGTTTAGGGCAATTTCTGTCCAAAAAAGGTCACACACACACGCACACACCCGGGTGCGGTCACGCACGTGTAATCTCAGCACTCAGGAGGCTGAAGCAGGAGGACTGCTGCAAGTCCGAGACCAGCCTGGGCTACAAAGTGAGCCCAAGGCCAGCCTGAACTGCATAGTGAGGGCTTGTCTCAAAAACACAAAAAAAGGGGTGGGGGAAAGCCATCCACTTTATTCACTGGATCTGTGTGGATTCACCATGCAACTTGTGGCTCTTCCTCAAAATCAAAATGACAAGAGGGGAAAGTTTTGAATGGATTCACGACCTTGGGACAGCTACAACAGCTTGACTAAAGAGCACTTCCAGAACTGATGCATAAAGTGGCAAGAATGGCTGCGCGTGGTGGTGCATGTAATCCCAGCACTCAGGAGGCTGAGGCAGGAGGATCATTGCGAGTTCGAGGCCAGCCTGAACTACACAGCGAGACACTGTCTCAAAAAGACCAAAAAAAAAAAAAAAAAGGCAAAAATGATGGGGCAAGTGTATAAGTGAGAGGGAATAGTCTGAGGATTAATGGCAGTGTCTTTTATTGTAATAATTTTTATTTTTGTTTTTTTGACACAGGTTCTCACTATGTAGCCCAGGTTGGCCTTGAACTCATGGCAATCCTCCTGCCTCAGCCTCCCAACTGCTGGGATTACAGGCATGTGCCACCACATCTGGCAGGACAGGCTCTTCTAACTACCCTGTCTCAAAAAGCAAAGTCTACCAGCCCTTCCTTATTATAGTTAGGATTGTCCTACCAGCTTCCTGGATAGCGGGGGTTACAGGCATAGACATTACATCTGTCTGTGCCAAACTCTTTTATTTTTGGTATTCTGAAACAGGGTATATGTAACCCAGGCTGGCCTTCAATGCTTGATCATCCCGCCTCAGCCTCTGAGGCGCAGGAACACAGGCATGTACTTCTCATGCCCGACTTATGCCAAACTTCTTTTTTTTTTTTAGAAATTGAACTCAGGACCTTGCACTTGCCAGGCAGGCGCTTATGCCGCTGAGCTATATCCCCGGCCCTATGCCAAACTTCTTAAAGCCATTGGCAGTGTAGTTATGTGAGAAGAAAAACTTGAGTATTTAGGAGTGAAATGTCATGCCTGTAACTTACTTTTAAATAGTTATTGAGAGAATGGGAAAAAAATCACAATAATTAAAACATGTACAGGTACAAATTCCCTATGATGAATGTGATCAATCTATATGACAAATATGTACTAATTTTTTTAAAAAATAGTTATGAGGAAAAAAATGTCTATAAAAGGTATAGACAAATGTATTGGCAAACTATTAGTGTGAGAATTTTCAAAGTAAAGGATAGGAAAAGAAAAAGAGATCTCATTTTGTTAGGAAAGAATCTGTTTCACCCTGGGCAATTTACTAAGACCCTGTCTCAAAATAAAATAATAAATAGCTCAGAGGCCAGGGATATAGCTCAGCGGCACAGCACCTGCCGGGGAAGTACAAGGTCCTGAGTTCACTTCCCGGTACTAAAAAAAAAGAAAAAAAAAAAGGCTGAGAAGTTAACTTGGAGCTCTCTGGATTCAGTCGTCACTTAGTACTGAGACACAAAGAAAAGGCCTTATGATTTAGAAGACTGCTTGCTTTGAAAGTTTATTTCTATTTTATATTTAGGGTCAGCAAACCTTTTCTGGAATCAGCAAAAGACCAAATGACAATTTTTTTTGACCATCTGAATCATGAAGTCTCTGTTCCAACTGCTCATCAGATGCCAGTATAATGCAGAGCAGCCATGGATAGTGCACAACAGGCCAGGTGTGGGGCACATCCCTATGGTCCCAGCAGTCTGGGAAGCTGAAGCAGGAGGACTGCGACTTTGAGCCCAGCCTGGGAGACCCTGTCTCAAATTAAAAACATAAAAAAGGGCTGGAGATGTAGCTTATTGCAAAGGACCTGGGTTCAATCCCTGATACTGCAAAATAAATAAAAAAGATAATGCACAACAATGCAAATGCACTTAATGCCACTAAACTGTACATGTTACAGTGATTAAGACAGTAAGCTTTATGTATATTTTCTGGCAACTTTTTTAAAAAAGCCAAGAAGCAGCCATAGTTAGCATGTGATATGTGTAGCTGGATTCCGGTAAAACTTTGTGGACAAAATTTCTTAACTTTCACATGCTTTGGAATATCGATTTTCAACCATTTAAAAACAAACACAATTCTTCCCTTGCATGAAATACAAAAACAAGGAGTGGGCAACATTTAGACCTGGGTCCTCCCCAACCCCAAGTCTGTGGTACTAGGGGTTGAATCCCAGGCCTTCACATTAAGCCACATCCCCAGCCTTTATTTATTCTTCATTTTGACACAGGGTCTCATTAAGCTGCTAAGTTTCCCAGGCTGGGCTGGAACTTGTGATCTTCCTGCCTCAGCCTCCCAGAGTGCTGGAATTAGACGTGTGTACCACTACACTGGGCTGCCTGCTTCTATCTTAAAGGAAATAATATGAACAAGTTAAAAGGTATGGCTTCTTTTGGCAGTGTAAGGCTTAGTCAGCATAGTCATAACAACCTTCAAGGAACAACACTGAGCAAATGCGCTACTGAATGCTGGTGTATTTTTTAACGTTTTCTGCACTGTTTCAAGAACATGGATTTTTATAATTGGGGAAAATAGGGCTACAGGTATAGCACAGGAGTAGAGCACTTGTCTAGTGCGTACAAGGCCCTGTTCGAGCCCCACCATCTCCAAAAACCAAAAACCAAAACCAGCAACAGCAGAAGGAAAAATAGATTTCTCTCCTTTTTTTTAAGGCAGGGTCTCACTATGTAGTTCAGGGTGACCTCGAACTTACTGTGTAGGCCAGGCTGGCGTCAGAACCGAAGGTGCGCCTCCTGGCTCAGCCTCCCAAATGCTGAGATTACAGGATGTGCTACCATGCCTGGCTCACAGATATTCTGGACGGAGTAAAAGGCCAACACCACTGGGCATGGTGGGTTATACCTGTAACCCCAGCACTTAGGAGGCTGGGGCAGAGGATCCTTTGGGTTCAAAACCAGTCTGAGCTACATAGTGAGACCCTGTTAAAAAACAAAAAACTGGAGTTGGAGTGAAGGAGGCTGCTGAGTGCAGTTAACAAGTCCATGAGGGTTTTACAACTCTACCACAGATAGGGTGTGAAACTTGTTTCTCTCCTCTTTCCCACAAAACACCATACCTCACCTCTGTTCTTTAATCACCATGCCTCCAGGCCTACCGCACAGACTGTCCTGGTGTCCAAGGTGAACACTGTACCTCCAGGGAGGAAAAAGACAGGAGGGGAGGGCACTAAGAAAAAGCACCCGGTAAGAGAGGGGCTAGTGCTCATCTCCAGGATTCTCCGTCCACTCTTTCATCTCCCACCTTTGAGCTTTACCCCACCTGCCTTGGGAGGACACGATCAATCTCCACAGTCAGGCTCTGCAGCCAGGGCACTTGCTGACCCTTTTGAGAAGGAAATGATTTCTGAGTGACCCCCAGCCATCAGCTGGTTTGGCAGCAGAGCGCTCACAGCTGCCGATGAAGGGGGCTTTCCTGGGGGCGGTCAAAGCAGTTTTCCCAGCAGGAGGAAGGTACAAAACCCAGCAAAGGCCTAGGCCACTTCATTTTCTGAATCTCAATGCAAAGAACGAAATAATGCCTAATTTCGGTTCAAACACGTTTCCCATTTATTAAAGTCCAGGTTACCATCACATGGCTTGGTACTCAATAAAGGAAAACTTGTTCAAATAAGGTAATATGTTATCATCAGCATTTCCAGGCGATTGTTTACAATCAAGTAGCACTGTCAAGAAATCCTTGAGGAAGCCCATCTACAAGAAAACACAAAGTATTAGCAAGGAAAGAAGGAAGGAAGTTAAATATATGTATTTTTAGTATTCTTTTTTTCATACCAGGGATCAAACTCTGGGCCTTGCATATTCTAAGCATATGTTCTGGCCCTGAGCTACACCCCAGCTAAAGTGACTTACCAAAAAAAAAAAAGAAATGTTAGCCCGATATAGTGGCACATGCCTATAATTCCAGTCCTTAGGAGACTGAGACAGGAGGATTGCCTCGAGTTTGAGGCCAGCCTGGACTACATAGTGAGACCCTCTCTCACAAAACCAACAAACAAACAAAATATCACTGCTGCTAAAATACATCCTATGTATCAAAGATCTTGTGACTTGCTGGAATAATAGAAAAGTAAAGCCCAAGATTTAAGCAACCTCTTAAGAATTGCTTATAAAATAACTACAGACAAGAACTGAAAAAATATAACTAGGAAGCCAGGCGTGGTGGCACACACCAGTAATCACAGCACTTGGGAGGCTGAGGCAGGAGGATTGTTGCAAGTTCAAGCCCAGCCTGGGCTACCAACTGAGCTCAAGACCAGCCTGAACTGCATAACAAGACCTTGTCTCAAAAAGAAAAAAAAAATCTATCTGTCTATCTATCTATCTATCTCTCTATCTATCTATCTCTCTATCTATCTACCTATCTATCTATCTATCGGAAATCCTCTCTTCTGGATTCCTAGTATTCTCCAAGTATGATAAAAAAATCTGTAATAGCACAAAAAGCCCTGCCTGTATTATAATTATAAGCTGCCCAGCTTTGTCGAGTTTGTGCTTGAGAGGAAGCAAAGGTGAAAAGCCCACTGTGCCAGGCGTGGGGGCACACACCTGTTATCCTAGCACTCAGGAGGCTGAGGCAGGAAGACTGCTAAGTTCAAGGTCAGCATGAGTTATACAATGAGTTTAGGACTAGCCTGAACTACATAGCAAGACCCTGAGACCCTGTCTCATAATAATCGAAAGAGGAAGGAAGGAAGGAAGGAAGGAAGGAAGGAAGGAAGGAAGGAAGGAAGGAAGGAAGGAAGGAAGGAAGGAAGGAAGGAAGGAAGGAAGGAAGGAAAGACAGACCCCATGGCTTTGATGAGATCCTACAACTCAGGCATCTCTGCTCAGTTTGTTAGGGTGAAGAGTGAAGGGAGGGATTCCCTGAGTTTGGTGGCTCTTGGGATGGATCTCTTTTCGAGTTGCTGAGTACCTCAGACAGGGGTTTCAGTAAGTGCTAACAGTTACCTTACCTAGGGTCACTGCTGCTTTTTTTTTTTTTTTTGTCTTTTTGAGACAGGGTTTCGCTATGCACTTCAGGCTGGCCTTGAACTCACTTTGTAGCCAAGGCAGGCCTCAAACTCACAGTGATCCTCCTGCCTCAGCCTACCAAGTGCTACGATTACAGGGTGAGCCACCATGCCCAGCTCACTGCTGCTTTTTTTGGTAAGGACTCTTACATGAACTCCTTAAATAATTATGATCCAGTTTTTGAAACTTTTGACAGTTTAGTTTCTCCCCTTTAAAAAAAAAGTGTCAAGTGTCCTTTTTCTCTTAGGGAGCAGATCCTCTCAGAGTCAGGGGCCTCAGTTTCCTCTTCAGTAACAGTGAAGTGCAAAAAATCACAGACAGCACTTACAGCAGTGCCTAGTACAGTAAAAGCTGCACACACTGTATGCGTCTGTTAAATGAAAACATGGCACTGCTTAAACATCTTGTTTCACAAAGAATTTTATAGACTTATTCAATGCTGAACCAATCCTGTGACTGTTTTTATTACTCAATCTGTCATTCCACTGAGAACAAGGTATCAGTGTCATCACTGAGTAGTGGACATTTACTTGACCATTAAGTTCTCATTTAGGCATATAAAAACTCAAGTATGAAATTAATAAAATTAATATAATTCTGCTATGAAAAACTATGGGCACACAGAAGACTCCACTCTACGTCAAACTAGTTACTAGGGAGAAAACTAAAAAATGTAGCAAAAACAACATCTAAAAATGAAGGTGTAGCCAAATGGGCCACTGGTTATTAGCTGCACTATTATTCTCCATGTTGAAACAGTTTACATAGGTTAAAGCAGGCTTTTGCTGGCCTTTACTCCAATTAAGAGAACAATGACAACTTTTCTTTTTTTGAGACAGGTGTCATGGTTTGTGTCTGGATGTCCCCCTAAAGCCTCATGCAGTCATGGGGTGGGCTTCTAGAGTTTTTGGTTGATTCATGGTCCAGTGCTGGGATTATGGGTGTGAGTGGTGCACCCGCCCTGGGGCAGGCAGCCTGCCTACAATATAAGGGAGAGGAAGAGGCTTGTTCTTGCTGCTTCTCCTCCCCTTTTGCTCTTGTTACTTTAGCTGTGTTCTGCCGCCATGAATTGTTGCCCTCTGCCATGTGCCACCCTGTCCTGGAGCCAGCTGGGTATGGACTGAAACCTCCAACAAACTGTGAGCTAAATAAACCTTTCAGGGCTAGGCATAGTGGCTCAGGCCTGTAATCGCAGCACTCAGGAGGCTGAGGCAGGAGGATCACTTCGAGTTCGAGGCCAGCCTGGGCTATAAAGTGAGTTCAAGGCCAGCCTGAACTGCATAGTGAGACCTTGTCTCAAAAAAAAACCCCTTTCCTTCCTTAATTTTGGGTGTCAGGTATTTTGTCTCAGCAATGAAAGAAAAGTAACCAGGACAACAGAGTAGCCCAGGCTGGCCTCTCAAACTTGTAGCAAGCCTCTTGCCTCAGCCTCCCAAGTGCTGGGATTATAGGTATGCATCACCACCACACCCGGCTCAGTTATAACTGAGAACAATTTCAGTTCCTTCAATTTAGCATCACCAAGGTGCTTACTCCTCGCCCCCGCCCCTGACCACCCTCCAGCAGGAAGAACTCTCAGGAGCTGCCTACCCCCATCCCTGGGCTCTTTTGCCAGCTTAGCACCATCACCTGTGGGTTACACTTTGTCAAGGCCCAGCTCCTCTGGAGTGGAGATTCCCAGTTCATTCAGAGTTGGTCTCAGTTCCTGGATGACATAGGGGTAGATTTCCTTATGAGGTCCTGCTTTGTCCTGTTGACCAAAAAAAAAGAAAAATACACAATAAATCCCGAAAAGCTATCTCTATTAACAAAATGAGCCTGAAAATGCTTTTAATCGTATATACCGAGGCTAACAGCCAGAAATCATATGGCTTTTGCTATCACTTCTCAGCCTTTTGGCTAGGATCAAGTACATATGGCTTTTGCTTCACACCAAGGCATTTATTCAATAAAAAGGACAATTTATACAGTTCAAGGTAGGTTTTTAAGACGCTTAGAGAATAACAAAGACAATTAGACTAAATCCAGAAAAAAGCATTTTAAAGCTCGAATTACTGGAAAAGGTTGTGGTGATGACAGAATTTTATAAAGGTAATTAAATATGCCCAGCAGGCAACAGGAAAAAATTAAGTTAACACAGGCAAAGTTTTTTAATTTGCCTCCAGTTTGAGCCACTAACTGAATTAACTACCAGTGCTGAATGGACTGACAGCCTACAGAGCCCTTAATTATCTCACCCATTATAGATAAAGTAACATCACTCTCCACCAACAGACCTGGAACTTCTGTCTTACAGATTGTGGTATCTCTTCATGGAGAGCTACACTCAAGAGTGTACATACCCACGGCCGAAGGAAATTTTTTTGTTTTTTGTTTTTTGAGATAGTCTTGCTGTATAGTTCAGGCTGCCCCTGAACTGACTATTAGCCTGGGCTGCTCTCAAACTTGCGGGAATCCTTCTGCCCAGCCTCCCGAGTCATGCGCCACCACATCTGGCTAGGATTTTTTTGTTTTTGAGATAGGTTAAGCTACATATATAGCCCAGGCTGGCTTCAGATTAGTAGCAATCAATCCTCCTGCCCCAGCCTCTCGAGTGCTGGCATTACAGACATATGCCATCATGCCATGCAAGGCCATTTTGACACTCACATAACATCTGATAATATGTGTATATAATCCAGAGCTCCCCAGTAGCAAGCATTAAAAAGTCAAATGAAGTAAGAGATGCCTAACTGTGACTCCTCTGCTGTCAACAAATACTAGGTCTCCTTAATTTTTTAAAATTAAAATTGTTTTAAAATACACTGTGGCCAGGGATGGTGGTGCATCCCTATGATCCCAGCACTTTGGGAGGCTGAGGCAGGAGGATCCCAAATTTGAATTCAGCGTGAACAATTCGATGACTTAGTAGACTCTATCTCAAACAAACAAACAAGGCCAGGCCGGGGATATAGCTCAGTGGCACAGTGCCTGCCTGGCAATCTCCAGATCCTGAGTTCGATTCCCAGCATCAAAAACAAACAAACACTAACATTTAACTTCTCTCTCTCTTTTTTTTTGGTGTGGTTCTACGGATTGAACCTAGGGCTTTGCAGATGCTAGGCAAGCACTCTATCTTGAGGTATATATCCAACTCTTTTTTTATTTTGAGGCAGGGTGTCACTAAGTAGCCCATGCTGGCCTTGAACTTGTGACCTTTCTGCCTCAAACTCCCATGTAGCTAGAATTACAAATGTGGTGCACCATGCCTGGCACATTTAATTTCATATCACCTATAGCAAAAAAGATCAATACCCAGCTGGCTATAGTGGGACATGCCTATAACCCCAGCACTTGGGAAGCTAGGGGAGAAGGAGTTCAAGGAGTTCAAGGCTAACCTAAACTACATAGTGGGACATTGTCTCAAAACATACATACATACACACAAAATGAACACCCTTTCTAATGAAACTTCTGTTGTTCTTAGCTGCATCTTTTTTGCCGGGTAGGAGTGGTACTAAGGCTTCAGCCCCAAGCCTTTATTGAGCTACATCCCCTGCTCATTTTTTAAATTTTGAGAGTCTTACTAAGTTGCTCAGAATGGGCTTGAACTTGTGATCTTCCTGCCTCAGCCTCCCAGAATGCTTGAATTACAAGAGTATGTTACCACACCTGACTTCTTAACTATAAGATAAATTCATAACTGTCATTGGTAAATAAAGGGGTATCAGAGTTTTGTTGTTGTTGTGCCTTGTGTGCATGTGAGATACTGGGGATGACCCCAAGGCCTTTTGCACGCTAGGCAAGCAATCCACACCTGAGGTATTTCCCCAGCCCATTTTGTTTTTTGAGAAAATCTTGCTAAGCTGCCCAGGCTGGCCCCAAACTCAAATCCTCCTTCCTCAGCTTCCTCCAAGTGTCTGAGATTACAGAAGCCTACCAGACCATCCAGCTCTTATGCATATTTAAGGCCTTGGAAAATCTGTAACTACAATGTAACATCCTTCTACTTATTTGAGAACTTATTTTAACAAATTCAAAAACAGAATATGGCTGGGTGTGGTGGCATATACCTATAATCCCAGCACTCTGGAGGCTGAGGCAGGGGGATTGTCATGAGCTCATGGCCAGCCTGGGCTACATAGTGAGTACAAGGCCAGCCTGAACCACATAGCAAGACCTTGTCTCAAAAAAAACCAACACCTAAACAAAACATAAAACCAGAATATACTGCTAGGATAGTGGTGCACACCTGTAATCCCAGTATTCAGGAGGCTAAGGTAAGACTGCCATGAGTTTGAGGCCAGTCTGGGCTACATAAGCAAGTTTAAGGCCAGCCTGCACTACATAGTGAGACCCTGCCTCCAAAAAAAAAAAAAAAAAGACTACATTGAAACCTGATAAACAGCCCAGGCACTTGTGGAAAAATTTCAGCACTGTTATTTCACTCACCTTAACCACCTCTAGGATCCGAACAGCACTAGCAAAATCATTTAACCGCCTGCATGCCCGCAAAGCAGCATCGATGATTTTGGGTTCTGGAACCAGATCATAGCCAACAAGTGTGTTCATCCCTGTCAAATTAACAAGAAGGAACATGTCAGCATGGAATTATCCTCATTTAAAGGATAATACAGTTGCCTACATTCTTAATTATAGACATGTCACCTTGTGTTTGGGCCCCGTTATCTATGAAATGAGAATCTGCCTTTATAGATCATAGATGGTCTGATCACAGTGGCTCTTATAGAGTGAGTTTGTGGGAAATTAATAGAAATGCACACTGTGGGGATAAACTTCAGTGTTTTCTCAAATGCACACACTATTTTCATAATGACTAGCAGATTTCTCTTCAGAGAGAATCATTTTCAAATCACATCTTTTAACTTTTTAACAGTGTTCATTTTTGGCTGCTTCAAGACAGATTCTATCAGAAAATAATCTCAAACAACCAGGGAAATGCCTACAGAGAGCTAATGAAGCCCAAACGAGAACATTAAGGAGCTATTACAGAGCAGTATTATTGTAAACACTATGAACACCCAACCAGAAAATGACTGGGCACAATTACTTCCACGTGTGTGCACAATGACAGTCATAAACGGAAGGTTCTCTTAATGGGGATGCTGAACGGCTCTCCTCTTCATTACTTCTACTCCAGATTATTCAGCAACAATTTCCAAGGCTGCAGCAAAACCGAGTCATTACGTTCCAGCAGAGGAGTTTAAAGCAGTCCTTTCTTGCTTTTGTTTAAAATACTTCAACAAAGGATAAAAATGAATAAAATGCCAGCACACAGTGGTAGAGACTGAATTCTTGGTCTGAGATAAATTAAGTACATTTATTATTTATGAGTAGTTAGCATTAGTGCTACTTATTCATGTCAAATGCACACCTGCAAATTCAGAAAAAACGAATGCTAGCTTACACAGACTAGTAGTCAGGGAGAAACAATTTACAACCAAGAGTAAAAATAAAAACTCAGACCATTCCACTCCTCAGAGGAGAAGAGCAGTGAATGAGTGCTGTGCAGGTCACCCAAAATTCCAGCACTGCAAGTGACACTCAGCAAGCTCTATGTCTGCAGCGGTAGTTTTAGAGACAGGGTGATCTTGTTGCCCAGAGGACACTGGGTAATTAATGTCTGGTGATATTTCTGGTTATCACAACTGCAGGTGTGTGTGTCTTGGTGCGTGTGTACATCTAGTGGGCAGAGGCCAAGAATGCTTATAAATACTCTACAGTACAAGGGACAGAGCACTGCAACGAAGAACTGTGACACAAAACGCCAACACGGTGTGCTTTAAAACCCTGCTTCACAGGAAATGCTACAGAACTGCAAACTTTCCTGTCTGTGAGCTGCATGGAAAGTTCACACAATGTGTATTTTCAAAGTATTTGTTTTCAACAAAGTAGTGGAAACAATTCATATTTATACACCAAAACAGACAGATGTTTTCCGTTTTAGTTACCTTTACGCAATTCCCAGGCATCTATGTCTGGCTTGTTGAAGTATGTCACCCAGCGAGCATCGAACTCCTCATCTGTCTCGTGTGTCCCATGGGAATAGCAGCGAGCTGACTGGACAGCTGCGATGGACAGAGAGCAGTAACTTTATGTACAAAGACAGCACTTGACATATCTTGCCACCATTCAGTTTTCAGGTTTGTTTTTTTCCAGTACAGTAAGTCCTCGGCTTAGGAACATCTGAGTTGTGAACCTTCACAGGTGTACTGTATAAGACTCACTTTGTGGGCCAACAAAGGAATCTGACCTCAGAACCATTCCTACTAAATGTAACTCCTTGTAAATTGGAGACTTACTGGACTGGGTGCTTCACACGCTCCAATGTGTAACTCATTTAAAGTTGTTAACAGTGGTAATCTTTAGGAAGGAAAAACTGTATTTTCTTATATGCTTCCATACTGTGTGAATTTCTGTAGTAGCAGAGTATTGACTCCTAACTAAAAATACTGTTGGCCAGGTACAGTGCACATGTATGTAGTCCCAACTACTTGAGAAGCTGAGGCAGGAGGGCTGTTTGAGCCCTGCAGTTCGAGGTCAGCCTGGACAATACAGCAAGAACCTATTTCCAAAGTCTACTGAATACTTAGCCAGATTCATAATGTATACTTACAGATACTGACAGTTGATACAAAAATCTTAGCCAGGTGAGGTGTCCCACACCTATAATCCCAGCACCAGGGAAGCTGAAGCAGGAAGATCACCACAAGTTGGAGACCAGCCTGCACTACATAGCAAGACCCTGTCTCAAAATAAAACCCAGCCAGGTGTGGTGGTGCACGACTGTAATCCCAGCACTCAGGAGGCTGAGGCAGGAAAACTGCTGTGAATTCCGAAGCCAGCCTGGGCCATATAGTGAGTTGAAGGCCAGCCTGAACTGCATAGCGAGACCCTGTCTCAAAAAGACAAAAAATAAAATAATAAATAAAATAAAAACCCCAGCTGGGCGTGGTGACACACGCCTGTAATCGCAGCACTCGGGAGGTTGAGGCAGGAGGATCATTGCGAGTTCGAGACCAGCCTGGGCTACAAAGTGAGCTCAAGGACAGCCTGAACTGCACAGCAAGACCGTGTCTCAAAAAGACCAAATAAATAAATACATAAATAAAAAACAAAACAAAACCCCCAAACAAAACAAAACAACAACAAAAATCTTATGCTTACCATTATTTTCCAAAATTGGGCTTGGGCTGTAACACAGGGGTAGAACACATACTTAGCATACATGAGGTTTGGGGGTCTCATTCCTAGCACCAAAATCAGTCATTTGATAAACCAATCAATCAGTGGATCAATCTTAATGGCTCTTCTACTCATGGGAATCATTATATACATAAAACATCCTTTAACTCAAAGTCTTTTTTTGTTTATTTGTTGACTGGGTCTCACTATGTAGTGCAGGCTGGCCTGGAACTCACAGCAATCCTCCTGCCTCAGCCTCCTGAGTGCTAAACTAAGATTACAGGCACGCCCTACCACATCCAGCATTTGACCCAAAGTCTTATAAAACTAACACCTTTAATATGTCAGAAAGCATAAACTCTACCACACTATGTACAAGAATTTGTAAGCTATCTTTTCCAAAGTTTAAAGTTACTCTTAACCAAACAGCTCATGTTTAAGTAGAAAATCGCATAACCACTTAGCAGATTCTTGTCAAGTTAGACACAAGGCTACCACATAACCCAGTAAGCCCACTCCTGAGTACTTGCTCAGGAGGACCCAAGGGTATGCTTGCTTCCTCCCCAGTCTCACATACCCTCTCCTTCCATGCAGAAGTGTTGCATGGTAATCAGTGTCTTCTGATAACTTCTGGGAATATTTGACTAGATAATACCAGCTTTGTTTCAAAGATGACCAGGAACTAAAATTTAAATCAAACAAATTGGGCCAGATGTGGTGGCACATGCCTGTAATCCCAGCATTTGGGAGGCTGAAGCAGGCCAGCCTCGGGTACATAGCTGAGTTCAAGGTCAGCTTGAACTACACAGGGAGACCCTGCTTTAAAAACAAAACAAAACAAAACAAAATTAGACCAGGTGTGGAGGCACACACACCTGTAATCCCAGCCCTTGGGAGGCTAAGGCAGGAGGATCATTGCAAATTGGTGACAGTATGGGCTACAAAGTGAGCTCAGGACCTGCCTGAACTGCATAGCGAGACCTTGTCTCAAGAAGACCAGAAAAACAAACAAACAAACAAAAATACAGAAAACATCATGACCTTGATCACCTCTCTCCTGGAAGCCAAGTTACAACCTCGCTATTTAAAAAAAAAAGAAAAACTTTTTTCTTTCAATACTGGGAGTCAAACCCAGGTCTCACACATATTAGGCAAGTGCTTCTGCACTGAATTATATCCCAGCACTTCTTATTTTGAGACAGGGTCATGCTAAATTCCCCAGGGTGGCCTCCACCTAGCAGTCCTCAGCCTATCCAGTAGCTGGGATTACAGGCTTGCACCATCACACCCAGCAACGTTTTCTTCTCCAGGGAAACCATATGGGCACATCCCCCACACCTCCATCTCACTGAAGTACAGCATGTCCAGCTAGCTTTGAGGCATGGAAGGCCAATTACTTTGGAAAGAACAATTACTCATTGCTTTTATACAAACAGGAGATTCCTGAGGAAGAAAAAGTAAGCAACTGTGAAAAATGGTAACATTTCTAAAAAGCTATTAATAACAATACATTTTAACACAAGTTCTGTTTAAATCAGATGGCTTTTTTTTTTTTTTTTTTTTTTTTTTGGAGATAGGGTCTCCCTATGTAGTTCGAAGGCTAGACTTGAACTATGTAGCCCAGGCTGCCCTCAAACTTGTGGTGATCTTCCCACCTCAGCCTCTGGAGTGCTGGGATTACAGGCGTGCTCCACCACAAGTGGCTGATTTCTCAAACATACTTTCTTTTGTTCCCAGTTAGCCTCATCCAAGAAACTCAATTCTTTTGACTTTCACTTGAAAAAAATGCTTAAGGTCTTATACTGATAACAAATCTCAACCTTTAATATACAAAAATGAAATGCACAATTAAGCAAGTTTGTGCAGTTTATGGGCCGCATAAAGACAAATGATGGACCACATGTAAGACAGAATATACCACATAACCTAGGTACAGAGCAGGCTAGATTAGTTAGGTTTGTGTATCTAGAATTCACTCTCTGATGTTCACAGGACAAAACTGCCTAAATAACTGCATTTACTGAATCTTGTTTCATTATTAAAGGCATGGCTATATTTAAGCACGTGTAGCAGGCAAGGTGATAAGAATTACATTATGTCAAAAAATACTACATTATCTCATTTAAACCTCACAGCTACCTAAAATTGACCTGATTTTAGAAAAGCAACTGAGGCATAAATAAGGTTAAGTAACATGTCCAAGGGCACAGCAAAATTAACCAACACTAGTGTAATCAATACTGCCTCCTTGTGGCAAATAATTAGGTATATGAGACAAAAACCTCATATCAAGCCTTTTTAGTTTAATTTTACTCAGGAGAGTAATAGACTGTTTGGAAAATAAACCACTAAATAAAGAAGAATTTTCTTACTCTACACTTCACCTTTTGGGAAATACCTCTGGCATTTCAAAAATCTGTTATAAAACTAGGGAAAAAATTTTTTTTTTAGATTTTTTTTTTTTCTTGCAATACTGAAGATTGAACACAGGGCCTTTGCACTCAAGTACATCCCCATCCCTTTTTTTTATTTTAAGACATGGTCTCACAAGATCACGAAGTTACCCAGGCTGGGCTCCAACTTGGGATCTTCCTTCCACAACCGCTCAGAGTGCTGGGATTACAATTGTGTACCACTGTACTCAGTTTGGGAATTTGGGTCAAACCTGACAATTATAGCTAAGAAACAGAAAATAGTTCTGCCACTAACAAAGAAAACAGTTGGCAAGGTGGGTCTGTGTCCTCTTCTGTATAAGATAATCTCCATGGTCTCTAAAGTCCACCCAGCCTTATGGTTGGTTCTATGATACAGTATGAAAGATAAACTCCAAATTAAATGAAAATCGGGAGTGGTTGCACACGCTTGTAATCCCAGCACTGGGAAGGCTGAGGCAGGAGGATCGTTTCGAGTTCGAGGATCGCCAGGAGTTCAAGGCCAGCCTGGGCTCAAAGCCAGCCTGAACTGCACAGTGAGACCCTGTCTCAAAAAGACAAAAAAAATTAAATGAAGCCCCTCCCCCCAAAAAAACCCAACCAAATTAAATGGAGCCAAAAATATTCTTCCGGTTCCGAAGCACCCAGTTGAAACTGTCAAGCAAACGCCGTTGTTACTTTTGAGTTTATGTTAAAATATGCATCTACAGACCCTAGGTTTCATAATCAGCATACACTACCACCATGGGTCAAACCAAGCACAGTGACTATGATTCAAAATACTATACTGGACACAAAATCTCCCAGAACACACAAGGAGAAGGGGAAATAAGAAAAAAGAATTTCCAACCCTTCGCCTCCAACAACCAGGCCTCCAATCTGAACGGGGGGAAAAACCCACGAAGCTTTTCCCCATATTTGTAGAACCCAGGATTGCTGGGTGTGCGGTACACAATTTTCGCGACAGTAATGTGGTCACCACAACACCCGCCAGCATCAGGCTGTTCCAGACCGCAGGACACAGCCACACACGTCAGGCATTTTAAACGTGGAGGAATCAGAACGCGGCTCAACCGCCCTTAAGAGGACCCCGGCTGTGAAAGTGACCTCCCCGGTCACTGTCCTGCGCCCCACACGGAAGCGCAGGCGTCCTCGATAAACCGGAGGGGGGTGGCGGGCGCTCAATGTCACCTTCGCCAGGGCGCCACGGTCAGGTGGCCAGGGGTCGGTGCAGGGTCGCCGTCACGGCTCGAAGGCCGAGGCAGCACTGCGCTCCCGGGCCCCCGAGGCTAGGGCGGCCCCCACCCCGCCACCCGCCCGCCGGGCCCGGGTTAGGCCGCCGCCGGCCTGCCCTAGAGTGACAGTGGGACCGGGTCACCGCAAGGACACGCGGGCGCTAGCAGGACCTTACCGGCGACGGGGCTGGGGGCCGCAACGGTCTGTAGGAAGCCGCGGGGCATAGCACGGGCAGCGGCTGCTACCGCGCAGCGGCGGAGAGCGGCGCCCAGCATGACGGCGATGGCGGCGCGCGGGCCCAGGTTACAGAGAAGCCGGTGCGAACTCGCGGGCCGCTCCGAGCGCGCGGGGGCCGGACGCACGCAGGACGCAAGGGGCGTGTCAGGGGCGGAGCGCACAGCCACGCCCACTGCAGCGCTCGCCCCTCCTGGGAACAGCACGAGGCAGCCGCCGGTAGGCTACGGTGGCGCGATTCGGACAAATGTGTTGGCTCCGCGCCCCGCCCAGCCTGTGGATGGATGCCCTAGTGGCCAACGTAGGCGGGCGGAGACTAGCAATGGACGTTGAAGGGGTTCGAGTCCGCCTCATGGTAGATTCGCACTATAAAATGGGTAGGATAGGAACAGCAGTGACAAATTAGAGGAAGAACGAGGGGTGGGAAAGGAGAGGAACCAAAGAATTAAAATATGCCGAATATGGTGCCCCATGCCTGTCATGCCAGCGCTCAGGAGAGTGAGACAGTAGGATCGCTGAGAGTTCAAGGCCACCCTGGGCTACATACTTAGTTCAAAGCCAGTTTAAATTACATAGGGAGACTCTATCTCAACCACCTCATCAAAAAAAAGAATTAAAGTATATTATGTACATGTACGAACTCCCTACGACGAATGTAATCATTATGCACTGCAAATGGGTACTAATGAAAATAAAAAATTTTAAAACACGGCAAATTATACTAAAAACTTCCCCTCTCCTCCTTCTTTGACACTAAAGTAAGAGAACAAATGGCAAATAACTGTCTATGTGCTGGGGACCTTAGTAATAATCTTGTTTGTTTGTTTTGTTTTTTTGAGACAGGGTCTTGCTATGCAGTTTAGGCTGGCCTTGAGCTCACTTTGTAGGCCAGGCCGGCCTTGAACTCGCAACAGTCCTCCTGCCTCAGCCTCCCAAGTGCTGGGATTACAAGCCTGTGCCACCACGACGGGCTGTTTTTGTTTTTGTTTTTAGACAGGGTCTCCTTATGTAGTTCACGCTGCCCTTGAACTCACTTTGTAGCCCAGCCTGGCCTTGAACTCTTGGCGATCCTCCTGCCTCACCTCCCCAAGTGCTGGGATTACAGGCATGTGCCATCACACCCAGGTAGCAATAATTATTCTTATAAAGTGACAAGCATTGGGCTGGGTATATAACTTAGTGGCACAGGGCTTGCCTGGCAAGTGCAAGGTCCTGAGTTTGATTCTCAGTACAAAAAAAAAAAAAAAGGCAAGCATTAAAAGATGAGTTCAACTGCTTGCTTTTACATGAAGGAATCAGACTCAGAAATTAGGTTGCTGCCAAGTGTAGTGGTACAAGCCTGTAATCTCAGTACTCTGGGAGGCTGAGGCAGGAGGATGGGGAGTTTGAGCGCAGCTTGGGCAATTTAGCAACTTAGTGAGACCCTGTTTCAAAATAAAAAATAAAAAAAGATTGTAGAGCCGGGCACGGTGGCACGGGTCTGTAATCCCAGCACTCAGGAGGCTGAGGCAGGAGGATCGTTGTGAGTTGGAGACCAGCCTGGGCTACAAAGTGAGCCCAAGGCCAGCCTGAACTGCATAGTGAGACCCTGTCCCAAAAGACCGAAAAAAAAAAAAAAAAAAAAAAAAAAAAAAAAAAAAAGATTGTAGATGTAGTTCAATGTTAAACTCCGGGTTCAATCTCCAGTAAAGAAAAACAACAAAAACATGGATAGTGGGGTGGGGTGGGGACCATTCTCCATTCTGGAACCACTGAGGAAAGGAAAGAGACATTCAGGTCCCTCTTGCTTGGCCCAGGCCTCCCTTGTGGATCTCAGCATTTCCCCACCTCCCATGACTTTAGAGGGGTATGAACCTTGCTGGGAAAATGATTTAAAAAGCAGTTTTTTTCAAAGTATCCACCCACCTTCTCCCACCAAGCTGGCCAAAGAACATCAGGGAAACTTTGATCTCTTTGCAGTTCAATTAATGTTCACCAAGTCTCCAAAACTTGAAGGCTCTGGATGAGGTCAGAGCAGTACAGGAAAGAAAGTTACTGGGGTATATTCCGCCTGCATGCCAGTTGGTCTGCCTGCTGCCGGGCATTCTGGCTATAGTCTCTTAAATTGGTTGAAGTGTTTAAAAATTAATGTATAATTGTTGGGCATGGTGGTGCACACTCATAATCCCAACACCTGGGAGACTGAGGCAGGAGTCTGAGAGGGCAGCCAGGGGTAAATAGTGAGTTCAAGAACAGCCTGAACTACATAGTGAGACCATGTAAAGCAAATAAATAAATAAAATATAATTATAGCCAGGCTATAATTATAGGTATAATTATACCTGTAATTCCAGCCCTCAGGAGGCTGAGGCATGTATAAGGCATACATGAGGATTTTGAATTTGAGGCTAGCCTGGGACACAAAGAAGGTCCTTATCTCAAAAAAAAAAAAGCTGCAGGGCTGGGGATATAGCTCAGTGTCACAGCACCTGCCTGGCAAGCTCGAGGTCCTGATTTCGATTCCTGGTACCCACCCCCCCAAAATCAAGCTGGCATGGTGGCACATGCCTGTAATCTCAGCACTCAGGAGGCTGAGGCAGGAGGAACTCAGGGGGTTTAAAACCACCTTGGGCTATACTGTAAATTCAAGGTCAGCTTGAACTACCTACTAAGATCCTTCACAGTAAATACATAAATAAATAATAAATATATAAATAAATCCAAAACAGACTATAATTTATGATGTGCCACCACATGCCACTATTTATTCTTCATCCCATCTATTTCTTATAAACATTGTAAGATAAAAGTTTATCCCTATCATATTAGGCAGGCATGGTGGTGCACATCTATAATCCCAGTTCTCAGGAGGCTGAAGCAGAACTACAAGTTCAAGCTCAGTCTGGGCTGGCTATTTATTTATTTATTTATTTATTTATGTCTTTTTGAGACAGGGTCTCGCTATGCAGTTCAGGCTGGCCTTGAGCTCATTTTGTAACCCAGGCTGGTCTCGAACTTGCAGTGATACTCCTGCCTGAGCCTCCCAAGTGCTGAGATTACAAGCATGCACCACCACACCTGGCTAGTCTGGGAAATTCAGCAATTTAACAAGACTCTGTCTCAAAATAAAAAAGGGATGGGGGCAGTGATGTAGCTTGGTGTGAAGCTCTGGGTTCAATCCTCAGTGCTGGAAGAAAACCTAATGTCTCCAAAATTGCTGTCTTTCTTCTTAGCTAAAGGTAGGCTTTGCCTCCTGCCTCAGCCTCCCAACTGCTAGAATTATAGGTATGTGCAACAATGGCCAGCTTAATTCCAGAACTTTTATTTTTCTGTAGTTCTTGGGATTGAACCTAGGGCCTTTGCACTGATCTGCATCCCCAGCCCTTTATTTATTTTTTATTTTTTATTTTTTTATTTTTTGGGTTTTTTTTTCCGGTATCAGGAACCGAACTCACGACCTTGCGCTTGCCAGGCAGGCGCTGTGCCGCTGAGCTAAATCCCCAGCCCCTAATTTTTTATTTTGAAAAGGAGCTCCCTAAATTTTTGTTTGTTTATTTACTTATTTGTCTTTTTGAGACAGGGTCTCGCTATGCAGCTCAGGCTAGCCTTGAGCTCACTTCGTAGCCCAGGCTGGTCTCGAACTCGCAAGGATCCTCCTGCCTCAGCCTCCCAAGTGCTGGGGTTACAGGCGTGCACCACCATGCCCGGCTTCCTTGATCTTGTGATCCTCCCGCCTCAGCCTCTCAGAGTTCTGGGGTTATAGGCATGCACCAGTGTGTCTCTAATTCCAGAACACTGTTATCTCCATGCAAAGAAGACTAGTTCAGTAGCGGTTATTCCGCATTCTTCCCCACACCCACCACCTGAGGCAATCTCTAATCTTTTTTGTCTCTAATGATTTGCCTGGGACTTGACATTTAAAGGGAATTTTTGAAACTGGACATGGTGGTACATGCTTCTAATCCCAGCACTCAGGAAGAGTGAGACAAGAGAATAAAAAATTTGAGCCCTGCCTAGGCAATTTAATGAGACCCTGTCTCAAAATTAATTAATTAATTAATTAATTTTTGGTTTTGGTTTTTCTCCGGTACCGGGAATCGAACTCAGGACCTTGCGCTTGCCAGGCAGGCGCTGTGCCCCTGAGCTAAATCCCCAGCCCCCTGTCTCAAAATTTAAAAAAAAAAAAAAAAAAGCCAGGTGTGGTGGCACACACATACAATCCTAGCACTCAGGAGGCTGAGGCAGGAGGATCGTTGCAAGTTTGAGACCAGCTTGGGCTACAAAGTGAGCTTGAGGCCAGCCTGAACTGCATAGTGATACCCTGTCTCAAAAAAAAAAAAGAAAGAATTGAATGTAGGTTTTTTGTTGTTGTTGCTATTTTTATTTGTTTTTGGTAATTTTTTGGTTGTTTTGTTTTGTTTGTGACAGGGTCATACTATGCAGGCTGGCCTGGAACTCACTCTGTTGGCAAGGCTGGCCTTGAACTCAAAGTGATCCTCCTGCCTCAGCCTCCTGAGCACTAGAACTATAGGCTTGCACCACCATGCCCTGCTCAATGCGTTCTCTTTTTTGAGGCCTTTCTTTTCTTCCAGTCTCCAAGTTCTTCCATGTTGTAACATTTATCAGTTAGTCAGGGCTTGGGTCTGGGGGTTTAGCTCAGCGCCACAGCTCCTGCCTCGCAAGCGCAAGGTTGTGAGTTCGATCCCTGGTACTGGAAAAAAAAAACAACCAAAAAAAAACAAAAAAAAGAAAGTAAATTTGTTAGGGCTGTCATAACAAAGTACCAAGGGCTGGTTTAAGCAGAACTTTCTTTCAATTCTAGAAACCAGAAATCTAAGATCATGTGTGTTAACAGGCTTGTTTTGTTCTGTTTTGGCAATACTGGGGATCAAAAAGCTGGGTGTGGTGGCGCATGCCTGTAATCCCAGCACTTGGGAAGCTGAGGCAGGAAGATCATTGGGAGTTCGAGGCCAGCCTGGGAAGACAAAAAAAAAAAACAAAAAAAACTGGGGGTCAAACCTAGAATCACTGTACCATTGAACTCCATCTCTAGCCCCTTGTCATGTTTTATTTTGAGACAGTCTTACTAAATTGCCCAAGCGATACTCAAATTTGTCATCCTCCTGCCTCAGCCTCTCTTGGTGCTGGGATGACAGGGGTGCACTACCACATCCCAGTGCTGTACTTGTTTCTAAAAGCTCTTCTTGGCTTGTAAATGGTCATTTTCAGTCTTTCCTCTCTGTGCATGCATGTCTATGTCCAGTGCCATCTTTTTACAAGGACACCCTTTATGTCAGAGGGAGCACACACATATGACTTCACTTTACCTTCATTATCCATTTATTTTATGTATGTTTAAAAAATTTTTGGGACAGGCTCTCACTATGTAGTTAAGGCTAAACTTTAACTATGTAGCCCAAATTGGCCTCAAACTCACAGTGATCCTCCTGCTTCAGCCTCCCAAGTGCTAGGATTATAAGCATGCACCTCACCTGGATTCCTGTCATCAGTTATCTGGAACTGTTCCACTATCTCAGGGAAATAAAGGACACTAGAACATCCTCAGTGGCCAGGACAATGACAAAGACTGCCCAGCTCATAGAGTTGTTTAGTCCTATGAGGCTAGCTAGCTCTTCTGATGGAGGAAAAGCAGCTCCATTAGCAGCTGGAACTAGAACCCTTTCTCTTTTTTGGGGGGGTGGGCAGTGGGTACCAGGAATTGAACTCAGGACCTCGTGCTTGCCAGGCAGGTGCTATGCCACTGAGCTATATCCCTAGCCCAACCCCCTTTCTTTCTTTTGTTTTCTTTTTTGTTGTTCTGGGGATTGGATTCAGCGCCTTGACACTAAGCTATATCCCCAGTGCTTTCCTTTCTTTTTTTTTTTTTTAATTTTCAGACAGGATCTGGCTAAATTGCTAAATTACCCAGGCTGAGTTTGAACTCGCAATCCTCCTGTCTCAGCCTCCCAGAGTGGTGCAGTTACAGGTGTGCACCAGTGCTCCCAGCTTAGACTGAGATCTGCTGGGGACCAGGCTATGTAAGTGGTAAATTGCTGACCACAGTGCTCTGAAGACAAAATAACACCACCGCTGAGGCAGTAGAGGACATTTGGCTCTCATTCCAATTCCAGAGCTATAAACTACCAACCTTAAAGATCAGTTAGATTGGCAAAATGTACCCCTGGAAAAGTCTTTGTTCTCACTTCTCAAGATCCTGTTTGGTTTCCTGCCTTTACCTCAGCTTTTCCCTTCACTTTCCCTCACATCCCTGCCCTCAACTTGTTTGAAATCCAATAAATAAGGGCAATCCAGGGAAGACTTTGTCTTAGCTCCAAGAGAGTTCCACCCTTTCTGGACTCTCCAAAACCATATCATTTGTCTCTTTTATAAACCTTTGCCATATACTCATTTTAGGAGATCAGGAGCCTGGCCAAGCTCCTGATAGAGACCTCCTGGAGGTAGAATGGATATCTAGTTATTCTGTAATTCAGCTCTACTGCATGTTTAGATTGGGAGCTGGCACAAGGATAATGAAAGCTCATTGGCTGAATGATGAAGGTCCCATGGAAGTCCCACCCAATGGAGCAGGCATTATCTTCTTGTCTGTTTCCAACTGGATTTAGATTCTGTGACCTAACTGCTTTGAAGGCCTAAGCTTTCACCGTCACAAGGCAGGATGGAGACAAGCACTGGCCAGCCCAGGATACGCCTGGATAGAGGCCCTGCTGCAGAGCTGGGGGGCTTCCCATTCCACCCAATCTGCACTGGCCCCTTGTGGAAGTGGGGTGTCTGATATGCTCCTTTACCTTACTCCTGGACTTTTCAGGCTCCCACCTTAGCCTTAGCCTTTGCCTTTGAGATTTCTTGAGGCAGGAACATCTGTCGCCTCTTGTTGGAACCTCCTCCTGTGACAGCAGGCTCAGAAGGGTCGCTCTCGGTTGCACAGCCATCAAAAGCCTGGGAAGTTCACCGGTTCAGGACCTGCTTTCAGGTTCAGGGCAAATTAACACTTTGAAGCTTGGGGATAAAACACCCCTCTCTCTCTCCCCCTTGCCCAGATGATTTTCCAGAGTGGAAGGGGGCTTACCTTTCTATCAAGAGACAGAGCTGCTATGGCTGTCCTTCCTCAACACCAGCAGGCTCTAGTACCAATCCTGGTAACTCGACAACTGGGCAAATTTACCTTCACCTAGAACTCCCACCAGTCTCCCTTCCACTTCAGGTATGCAGAGCCTCTGCCAAGGGTACCTATTTTACTTAGATGCTGAACTCAGGGTACTTTAACTATTAATGAGTTTACATTCTTTTCCTGCTTCCTGGCCACTCATGAGGGTCACACAGTTCACCTGAACCCCTTGGCCCTCCACAGAGACTCATGAGGAACAAGAGAGCAGCTAGGTGTGGTGGTACACACCTGTAATCTCAGTACTTGGGAGACTGAGACAGGAGGACTTCTCCAAGTTGGAAGCCAACCTGAGCTACAGCCTGAGTTCAAGCTCAGCCTGGAATACATACTTAAGAGCTCTTGTCTCAAAAAAAAAAAAAATGTGAAAAAGGGCTGGGGGTGCAACTCAGTGGTAGCACACTTACTTAGTATGTGTGAGGCCCCAAGTTAAAGCGCCAGCATGCCAATAACAACAAAAAGAAAACCCAGGGGCAAGGGATTTAGCTCAGCGGCACAGCGCCTGCCTGGCAAGTGCAAGGTCATGAGTTCGATTCCTGGTACTGGAAAAAAAAAAAAATAAATAACATTTGGCCGGGGATATAGCTCAGTGGCATTAAGTGCTTACCTGAAAAAAAAAAAAAAAGAAATAACATTTGGCCGGGGATATAGCTCAGTGGCATTAAGTGCTTACCTGGCAAGCCTGAGGCCATGAGTTTGATTCCCGGTACAAAAAACAAAAACAAACAAACAAAAAAAGAAAACCCAGCCAAAATCCCCAAACAAAAAGTACCCCGCAAGTCAGAGCAGGCAGCAGGGGTGACAGGACATCCTGGTCTGAAGCTCAGGCAGAGCTGGAGGGATGGGTGAGGGAGCAGGCCTCCCTGCAGAACCCCTCCTCCAGTGCAAAAACCTTTTTTCTGTCACCAGCAGAAGGGTTTATTTCAGGGTTCTGCCTGCAAAGTGACTTACAAATCTTTCCCAGAGACCTTCCCTCTGGGCAGGTCTGAGCAGACCCTGGGCTATGCTACCCCAGAGCCCCTGCAGCAGGCCCCCTCCCCCTCCCAAAGCTGCCGAGGAGTTGGGTAGAGAGGCAGCCAGGGCTGTTATCTCTGCCGACAGCTGTGCAGGGCTGGAGACAGCCGCTTATCAGGAAGCCTGCAGTGATTCACAGCCCAGTCCCAGCTTCTCTGCTGAATAGTAATTTCCAGCTTGGCTCTCCACTCAGTCTCTCCTCCCCCTCTCCCAAGGGTGTGCTGTCCTTTTGCAGAGAGAGGGCAGTGGAGTCGGCTGTGGGGATGAGGGCTTCGTGCAGCCTTTCCAGCAAGGCTCAGTCTGTTGAGTGGAAGCTGCAGGTTCAGGGGCCCTAGTGTTTGCCATCCTTGCCAGTGACCCCCAGGAGAGCTCTTTCATGCTCTCCTTCCTCCCTCTCTTAAAAAAGCAACATGCTGCTCCCCGTCCCTTTGTGGAGATGCACAAAACAACACAGGCCCCCTTCTGGACACAAGCTCCCAAGTCCAGAGCCAGCCAGGGAGAGCAGGGGACAGAGAAGCCAGGGACTGAACATCACACTCCTCCTGCCATCTCGAGGCTGGCTGGTTCCTGTGCTGGACCCTGAAGACCCAAAGGCTGGGGCAGGGGGTGGCTCCCAAGGCTAACCTCAGAGTGGTGGACACAGGGGCCAGCACAGCAGGGGGTTAGGAAAAAACCTGGGGACAGAGCCATTTTGGCATTTGCTTTATTGGAAGTAAGATTCCAGCTGCGGGGCTCAGGTAGGGAAAGTTCCATCGTGGGTCTCTCCCTCCGGGACAGCCTGGGGAAGGGGATGTTATAACAGCATGAAAGTAAAACGGGAACTGGTCTCAGAGAGGGGGGCAGAACACAGACAGGCTCAACATCCGATTCTGCTACCCTCAAACAGTCAGTTTCTCGGCCTGGGAGCTCCTCTATCAGCGCAGGAGCAATTCCAAGAGCTCTTCTGGGGTGTGGAGTCCGGGTCCCCTCCACGAAGCTGGATGTCTTTAAACCACAAGGTCCCAAACAAGGCTCGGAGTCCTCTGCCTACCGTTCTCTTCCTAGGAAGATCCCAAGATGGTCCTGTAATGCCGAAGGTGGAGCTCCACCTCTTGGGAGCAACCTCCCACCAAACCTCCTTGGGTTGGTCTGGGTCCTCTCCTGCCACTCCTGGATCCCCTCTCTAGTCTCGGTGGGGTTCATGCTGCTGGTCTGAGGTGCTGTATCCAGGATGTGGGCGCTTGAGGACCGAATCGTGGAAGTTGGAGGTGTGTCTGAAGGTGGAGGCGCGGAAGATCCAGCGGCCCAGGTGGCTCAGGGAGCTCCCGCCGTGCGGTCCTCGTCTCCAGCCCCCGACTCGGGCTGTGACCTCTTCGGGGCGCCCTCTTCAGCTGCGGGGTCCCCGGGACCCCTTTTGGCCGTCGGCGCGGCGGGCGGGGATGGCAGGCTGGGGCGGGAACCGGGGGGCTGGTAGCCGAGCTGGAGAGGGTCCAGAGCGTCCTTGGACAGCAGGATGGCGAGGCCAGGAACGTTCTTGAGGACACTGAGGCTGGCAGGTGGGTGGTCGGGGCCCGGGGGCAGGCTCTGCCACACCTCGCGCACGCTCCGGTAGCGCAGCCGCGTGACCTGGTGCAGCCCCGCCAGGCGGCGCTTCAGGATCTCGACGCACGTGACAGTCTTGGTGGCGGCCCGGCCGCAGCCGCTGAAGACGATGGCGCGCGTGGCCGGCTGCGCCATGCTGGCGGTGGCGAAGGCCAGCAGGTTGCGGATCTTGCTGCCCTCCTTGACCCGCATGTGCACGGCGCCGGGCGCCAGGTCGGCGAAGGGCCCCGCGCCCGAGCCGCTCGCCTCCGGCCCCTCCTCGGAGCGCACCTTACGGAAGTTCTCCATGCGCCCTGGTCGCCATCGGGCCGCTCAGCCCCGCGGCTGCATGGCTCCGCTTGGACGCGGCAGCGGGCGGCGACCCTCGGTGTTTACGTCCCTCTCCAGCCTGCTGTACTCCGCTCCGCGCCCTCCACGCTCTGCGCTCTCGGTGCCCTCAGCTGCGAGCTTTTGGCCAAAGCCCAGCCCCGGAGCCGGGAGGCCCCGCCCTTTCCAGGCCGGGCCGCTTGCCCAGGACTGGCAGTCCGTCTGTCCCCGCCCCCTCTGGGCCCGCCCTTCATAGACCCCGCCCCTTTCCCCGTACTAGCTTGTTTCCCGGGCCCCGCCTTTTCCTAGGCCCCGCCCTTCCCTGGGCCTCAGTCCCGCCCCTTGTCCGGGACTGGTCCGGCCCAGGCCCCGCCCCCGCCCCGTCCTTGCCCTTCGAATCCTGCAGCGTCCTCTGTGCCCCCGAGAGCGAGCAGCCTGGACCCGCCACCGCCCTCCCTAGCAGCACTCCTAAAGGACCGCCTAAAAGCTGCTGCGGTGCCGTCTCCGCTTCTAGCTAAGTCCCCGGGCGCTCCGGCTCCGGGGAAGGGCGCCCCCGCCCTGGGGAGGCTTCCATGCACTCCGCGGCCCCCGCGCCCCCTCTTCCAGGGCTCAGCCTGAGAGCACCTGGCGACAAAAAGCCGTCCACAGCAGAGGGACCGCGGCCCTCGGACAACCCTGGCGCGCGGTCCTCGCCAAGCTTAGGGAGCGCGAGGCTCTCAGGTCCGCGCACGCTTGGAGCCCAACATGTCCCGGGCTGCGCCCTAAAGCGGTTAGGGAGAGCAAGGAGACTTCTCATCCAGGAACGCTGAGCTCCCTGCACTATGCCCGGAGTCCACTTCATTTTCCTTTCTTCCCACTGAGCTACGCCTCCAGCCCTTTTTATTTAGAGACAGGGTCTCGCGAAGTCCATGCATTGGCCAGGCCAGACTCGAACTTGCGATCCTCCTGTCTCAGCCTCGCTGAGTGCTGAACATCCTGTCCTAGAGCCTCCTAGTTTGGAGAAGTGATGGTCTCGCGCCTGCCCCCGGAGACGCCCCCTCCTGCAGGGGGACTTGTGGTCGGGTCATTTTCCAAGGAGGAGATCCGCGAGAGCTAGTTGGAGAGGAGGAGGCAGCCGCAGCCCCTGGCCCTGTGTGCCAGAGCCTGAGCGGTGCTCCAGCCCCATATCCGCCTGTTCTGGGACCCGGAGCCCCTAGGGTGCTCGATCTAGACCCGGCCTTGCCCCGGTCCTGAGGGTTCCACGCGGGACCGCAGCCTGGGGAGGACACAGGGACCGTAGCGCACGCCGGGAGCCGAGAGCCGGGAGCCGGGAGCCGGAGCCGGGAGCTGGGAACTGGGCTGCGTGAGACCGGGCGGTATGGTCTAAAGAACCCAGGATTCGGATCGGTCTGGGCAGCCTCAGGGACTAGACGCTGCCTCGGCGCGGGTGGGTGGGGAGGAAGCGAGCTGCCTGTCCGCAGCACCAAGCAAGCCTGGCTGGGCCGTGGGGCGGAGCAGCAGGGGACCTGGTAGCAGGAGGACCCGGGCTGGCAGCTGCGGGCTCGGACGGGCCGAGGATGGGGTGTGCACCTGTGCCCCAAGGACCCCATTTCGCAGCACCCGCAGCCTGCTCGGAGAAAACGCGGAGAGGCCTCCCCTGTTCTCTGTCTCCCGCTCCCGCTGCGACAATTAAAATGCAAATGCGCTGCGATCCCCCGGGTCTCGGGTGACAGCGTGCGCTCACACTGCTGTGCCCCTGCCTGGCCTGGGGCGAGGATGGCGACTGAACCAGTGCAGGGGCAGGCACAGAAGGCGCGAAGGTGTCGGAGAGGTAGAGGAATGGGGGCGGCAAAGACGCGGGAGGAGGGGAGAGGAAAGTGTGCAAAGCAGGTGGGAATCCGGGGAAGGGGCTCAGCCACGGAGCCCCTGCGCATTGAGCACCTCGGTGGTACAGGACCCACTGTCAGGTCAGGAGGTCGAGTTAAAACCCCCAGGTGCACCGGGAGGGTGGAGCACACCTTTAATCCCAGCACTTTGGGAGGCTGAGGCAGGAAGTTCACAAGTTCAATCCTAGTTTGGACAACTTAACAACTTTTTTTTTTTTGAGACAGAGTCTTTCCCTGTAGCCTAGGCTGGCCTCAAACTCACCACTGTCCTCCTCCCTCACCCTCTCAAACGCTGGGACTGCAGGCGCATGCTACCACGGCCGGCAATTTAACAATTTAGTGAGACCCTGTCTTAAAATTAAAAAAAAAAAAAATTTAAAAAGGGCTGGGGCTGTAGGTCAAGGTGAAAATCATAGGTTCAATCCCCAGTATTGGGTTTTTAAAAAAAAGCCAGATGCCCACCAAATATACAGTAGGACCCTAACTATTAGGAATAAAAAAAAAAAAAAGCAATTTCTTTGTGTATGTGTCTAGATGTAAATGTACTTTCTGTCTGAGACAGGGTCTTGCTATGAGGTTTAGGCTGGACTTGAACTCACAGCAATCCTCCTGCTTCAGCCTCCCAAATGATAGATTACAAGCGTGTGCCACCAAGCCTGGCTAGATATAATGTATTCTATTTGAGCTCACTTTGCAGCCCAGGCTGGTCTCGAACTCGCAATGATCCTCCTGCCTCAGCCTCCCGAGTACTGGGTTTACGGGCATGCATCACCACTCCCGGCAATGTAATGTATTTTTAAAAATAGCCTGTAAGGAAACAGCACACTGATGTCTGTTACATCTGCTGCTACATCCGGTTTCTGTTGCCCTCTTTAGGAAAGGGTCACTGAACATGAATTGAATGCAAAATCAAGTACAGTGTAGCATCTTGGAACAGCCTACACACAGGAAGTTCTGGCCCTGGAGCCCAAGCATTACCAGCAGACTCTGCCTCTGTGTGACCTGAACGTGTCACTTCACCCCATGCCTGTCACCTGTGAAATGCAGCAGGTAGACAGATGGACAGTAACCTGCTTCATGGGGTGGCTGTGAGAATTGTCATAGTTTTAGAATCTTGGCTGGTGAGGTCTCAGGTGGCTGTTGTCACCCTGTGTGTGTGTGTGTGTGTGTGTGTGTGTGTGTGTGTACCCACTGCCTTGCACAAGCGCTGTGACAATCTTAAAAATTGTCAAAGGGACACGAGGGGGAAGAAGGCTGGTGGCAGGGAAACAGGGCGAGTCCTGGAGCTAGGCAGCCGTTTCCCACTGCCAGGGACCGCTGAGGGGAGAGGAGACTTCGTGATCTCCGAGGAGACCTCGCCCAGGCAGAAGGCACCGCCCTGCTCTGCAGAGTCCCTGCGGGCATGGCGCCACCTTCTGAGGTCACCTCTCACTCCAGAGTGAAGGGAGATGTGACAGACAGGTGTCTTCTCCTCCATCCCCAGTGGCGCAGTGGCAGAAGCTCTTGTCTCTCTTGGGCAGGGCTTGGGAATCAGGGCTCAGGAGCCCAGGGGACAGAGTCATCAGACACCCACCCAGCTGGGCTCGATCCCAGGACGATGTGGGGAATCCTGATTGTTAGGCAGATGTGGAAACTCAGACTCTGAGACCCAGAGAGGTTAAGAAACTTGCAAATGTGGCATAGCTTGAAAGCAGTAAAGACAGTATTGGAAGCCAGGTGCTCCTCTAGTCCCACTACCTAGGCTGAGTATGAAGGGAAATGCATTTTTATTTCTTTATGTTTTATTTTATTTTGTGGTACTTGAGATTGAATGTAAGAGTGCTGAGCTACATACCCACCTGTTTTGACTTTTAAAAATTTAAACTTTAGCCAGGCATGGTGGCGCACGCCTGTAATCCCAGCACTCAGGAGGCTGAGGCAGGAGGATTGTTGGGAGTTTGAGACAAGCCTGGGTTACAAAGTGAGCTCAAGGCCGGCCTGAACTGCATAGCGAGACACTGTCTCAAAAAGAAAAAAAAAAAAAAAATTTAAATTTAACTTATTGTTATTTCCTCTTGTGATATTAGAGATTGAACCCAGAGCCTTCAAACTGAGCTATATCCACAGCTCTTTTAAATTTAAAAAAATTTTTTTTATCTTTTTTTTTTTTTTTTTTTTGGTACCAGGAATCCAACTCAGAACCTTGTACTTGCCAGGCAGGCACCACGCCACTGAGGTATATCCCTGGCCCTTTTTTTAAAACAAATTTTGAGACAGAGTCTCCCTGAGTTGCTAAGTTGCCCAAGAAGGGTTCAGATTTGCAGTCCTCTCCTATCTTCACCTCCTGAGCTGCAGGGATTGTAGGTATCTGCCATCATCATAACTGCCTTAGTTTTATTTTATTTTAAAATTTTTTTATATACTATAGATTGAACCTAGAGCTTTCTCACTGAGCTACATCCTCAGCAACCTCTACCCTCTTTTTAAGTTTTATTTTGAGACAGGGTCTCACTAAGTTGATGAGTAGCCCAGGCTGAGCTCAAACTTTAGGTCTTCCTGCCTCAGCCTCCCAAATGTTGGGATTATAAGTATGAATGACCACATCTAGCTTTAGTTTCATTTATTTATTTTTTCTGTTTTTTTTTTTTTTTTTTTTTTTTTTTGAGACAGGGCCTGGCTATGTAGTTCAGGCTGGGCTTCAACTCACTATATAACCCAGCTGGCCTATACCTCTAGGCAAGGGCCAGGGATATAGCTTAGCAGTACAATGCTTGCCTGGCAAGTGCAAGGTCTTGAGTTTGATTCCCACTACAAAAAAAACAAAAACCAAAAAACAACAACTATAGGCCACTCTCCTGCCTCAGCCTCCTGAGCGCTGAGATTACAGGTGTGTGCCACCACACTCAGCTTTCACATGATTTCTAAGGGCTAGAAATCCAGGAGCAGTTTAAAGTGGTACACCTAGCTCAGGGCTTGCCCTGGGACTGGAGTGTCCTCTCCCAAGTCTGCACACGGAAGTATTGACTGTTCGAAGCCAAAGTCCTCCATGGCCTGCTGTCCACACAGCCAGCCTTCTGAGAGCCAGGGATGAGGGGCAGCCTGGGAGGAAGCTGCAGTGCCTTGGAGGCCCAGCTTTCTCTAAAGTCTCACACCGTCATTTCCACATTATTTGCACTTAATTTGTTGGAAGGGAGCCCAGCCCTGTCCACAGGGAGGGAAATTGACACCCACTTCTTGAAAGGGGAGCAGCAAAGAATTGTGGGTATTTCAAAAGCAGCAGGGAGCAGAAATCAACCTATAGAAACAGATTTATTATACAAAGAACACTGACCTTGAATCAGGGTAGCTGAGTTTATTTCCAGGCACACAGCAACTGCTTAATA